AAAAAAAAAAGGTGAAAAAGAAGCAGTGCCAGCCAAGCAAGGGCCTTCAAAACTTGTGTGGAATGAAAATAAAAATTCCCTCTGTGCCTGGTAGCTTGATTGTAATCCAGTGCTTGCATAAAGAGCAGCTGGGGGAAAAGGGAGCCTTTGTTGCTTTGTTTTATTAATTTTTTTCTTTCCCAGTAACTTCTGCTGGCAGCAAATGATTGCAAATTAATTGGAAGTGCCTCAATCCTTTGTTGGGGGTTCCTGAGCAAGGCTGGGGTGCTCAGAGAGGGGTTTGGGGCGAGCTCAGGGTGGATTTGCAGGGAATGGCTTTACCCTGGGTGGGGTTTTGGGCAGGAATTCCTCCCAGAGCAGCTGTGGGTGCCCCTGAAGTGTTGGACAGGGCTTGGATCAGTCTGGGATGGTGGAAAATGTCCTTGTCTGTGGCACTGGATGAGTTTTAAATTCTATTTTTAACCCAAACCATTCCATGGTTCCATTGCCCCCACTAAAAATCCCCTTGCACCTAAACTGAGGGGGTGAGGAGCTGAAACTCCTGAGCTCCCCAATCTTTGGATGTTTGGGATTAAATCCATTAAATCAGATTTCCCAGAGCAGCTGTGGCTGCCCCTGAAGTGTTGGACAGGGCTTGGATCAGTCTGGGATGGTGGAAAATGTCCTTGTCTGTGGCACTGGATGAGTTTTTGGGTTTATTTTAACCCAAACCATTCCATGGTTCCATGAGAACATTGACCCCACTAAAAATCCCCTTGCACCCAAACTGAGGGGTGAGGAGCTGAAACTCCTGAGCTCCCCAGTATTTTAATATTTGGGATTAAATCCATTAAATCAGATTTCCCAGAGCAGCTATGGGTGCCCCTGAAGTGTTGGACAGGGTTTGGATCAATCTGGGATGGTGGAAAATGTCCTTGTCTGTGGCACTGGATGAGTTTTTGGGTTTTATTTTAACCCAAACCATTCCATGGTTCTATGAGAACATTGACCCCACTAAAAATCCCCTTGCACCTAAATTTGGGAGGGTGAGGAGCTGAAACTCCTGAACTCAGAAATCTTTGGATGTTTAGGATTAAATTCATTAATTAATTCATAAATTCATGTGGCTGCCCCTGCATCCCTGGCAGTGCCCAGGGCCAGGCTGGAGCCCCCTGAGGCAGGGGAAGGTGTGGGATGGGATGGGGATGAGCAGAATGGGATTTTGAGGTTTCCCCCAGCCCAAACCAGGGCCCAGACCTCTACCTGGGCTACAGGAAGGTGTGAAATGGGATGTGGATGAGCAGATTGGGATTTTGAGGTTTCTCCCAACCCAAACCACAGCCCAAACCTTTACCTGGAGTCATGGAAGGTGTGAAATGGGATGGGCAGGAGTAGAATGGGATTTTTAAGTCCTTCCCACCCCAAAGTTCTACCTGGGGTAGGCAAAGGTGTGGAAAGGGATGAGCAAGAATGGAATGGGATTTTGAGGTTCCTCCCAACCCAAACCAGGGCCCAGACCTCTGCCTGGGGTAGAAGAAGGTGTGGAATGGGATTTTGAAGTTCCCCTCAGCCCAAAGCTCTACCTGGGGTCATGGAAGGTGTGAAATGGGATGGGGATGAGCAAGAATGGGATTTTGAGGTTCCTCCCAGCCCAAACCAGAGCCCAAACCTTCGTCTGGGGTAGAGAAAAGTGTGGAATGGGATGGGCAGGAGTAGAATGGGATTTTTAGGTCCCTCCCACCCCAATATCTACCTGGGGTAGACAAAGGTGTGGAAAGGAATGGGCAGGAATGGAATGGGATTTTAAGTCCCCCCCAACTCAAAGCAGAGCCCAAACCTCTCCCTGGGGTAGAAGAAGGTCTGGAATGGGATGGGCAGGAATTTTTAAGTCACTCCTGGCCCAGACCTCTGCCTGGGGTA